AAACTTAGACCACCTTTATTCGTGACCCAATGGTTGGGTCACGGGAATAAAACAAAAAAAAAGGGAAAAGCTCACAATATGCGCTACCCAGGTCACGACCGGTTTTTGTGCAGAAATGGAACACTTGTCCTATTTTTATTGGACAAGTGTATTTTTTTTCTTAAAAAAATAAAAAATATTAAAATTATATTTTTTTCATTCTCTACAGATAGAGACCACACTTGATATATTTTAGAATACAATTGCAATTTTTAAATAAATTAAAATAAAATAAATATTTAAGTTGAGTTGGGTTGGGGATAAAAATAAATTGAGTTGGAAGATTGAGTTGTGTAGGTAGAGGAGAGAGAAATAATTTTTAATTGTTAGGTTGAGTTGGATTGAGTTTGGGATAAGGATAGTCTTATTGATTGGAATGTTTAGGATTTTGTTTTCTCATTTTGTGACTTTGGATGACTATCTAGCAAACAAAGCTCTGAACCGTCTTCCTTGAGAAACGACTTAGTCCAGATAACTCGGTTACCAATTAATCCCACAAAATACTACAAACAACGTCGACGTGGGATCTCTCGCAGGCAGAGAAGCTTCATGACGAAATTGACGTACTATGGTGGTGGGGGTCTAGTGGCGACACCGGCCAGGACAAACGGGGCTTGCTGCGGTGGCGGACTGTGTCGCGGCTGAAATGCGAGCTGTCGAGACTGGAAGTTTATTTGATCATGGTATAGTCACGTATTTATAATCTTGTCTCTGCAAGTTTAACAATCATTAATCAATTTTGACTCCATCTTGTCCAGTGACACGAATGATCAAATGATCTAAAATTATTTTTATTTCTTTCACTATCCATCTTTATCGTATGATCCCTAATATATATATAAATAATTTTTTTATGAATATGGTAAAAAAAAAACTCTTAATTTATGTAAAAGAATAGTAACAATAAATATATAATAATAAATAACAAGTTTAAAAGTGAAGGTGGGTGGGTAGTGAATAGTGAATGTAGTAAATGGCCAAGGAAAAAAAGGGGTTATTTGAGCTGACAAATGAAATGACCATACGAAGAGAGCTGAAAAATCATTGAGTACTATGATATTAGTGAGAAGCCAAAGTTCATCCAAAACAGGGAATATCATGATTTCTTCTGGCAACCAAAGATTAAACAAAAAATGGACAAACCCAAACAAAGGGAGAAGATTACATGTCCATTTGATTTAAGTTTTTTCTCTCGCAAACTTTAAGGTACACT